ATATATATATATATATATAGAGCACATTCATACACTATACATAATGCTATTAAAGTGATAATATGTCATATATAAATGATTAAACATATGTATGTACATACACACAAAATGAAACAAGACACAAATAAAATTTTACTTTCAAATTTCTTTAAAATAAAGAAAGGCGAATTAAATAATTTTTTTAATTAAGATAGTACATTCGCGAAATGAAAACAGTCAGAATTTTTTGAAATTAAAACTACATATTGTATTATACTACAAGACTTTGACGATGTGCAATTACAATGAGATTGAATTCTGTTTCAATAAATACAAGCAATTAAAAACTTACTTTTTACGTGTCGCCTATACAAAAATTCATGAAAATGTTATATTTATTTTTTTAGAGTTTAAACTAGCAGTGATATATTAATAAAAAATGAGCATGCGATGAACATGAAATGAATATTGTAAAAAAATGTCATAATTTTTACCGTAATGTAATTTTCATAATTTTTTGGCATAATGTGACTATGTGTATCTGTATTCATTTTCTTTTCGCGTGTACATGCAGCTTTGGACATCATAGTCAAAAAAAAATTCTCTCTTATTGGAAGCCAATGAACATGATGGGACCAAACTTTTGGATGATATTGTTGCGAGTGTACTATCTTAAAAGATTATATGGTAATGTAACTTTGGTAATAGAGATATTGAAAAGTAGCTCTGAAACTTTTCTACATTTTTTGAAAATCTAGAACAGTAAAAAAAAGTTGAACTGAATGAAAAATATCCAGATTACAGACGAAGGCAAAAAAATATGATTGCTGACGAAGGATTAATTTAGAATCTGAATTCGATAAAGGTAATGCGCTTGTTGTACTTTCTACATAGTAGAAGATTATCTAATTAAAACTCGCTCAATTACGAACTGTAGTTTCTTATTAAATGCCTAAGTATTTCACTTCATTATTCTGCCTTCAATAACTTCTTTTCTTTTCTCTTGATAGGATTCTTTTTACAGTCACTATAAATATTATTGAGATCAAATGCAGCCTTTACATTGTCCTGAAAAATTAAAACAAATAAATAAGATAGAATTACTAATTAATAAGCTAGGAGGTTAACAAATTAAATATGAATAACGACGTACCAGCGAGAAAAGAAATTTAACAAGCTTCCCTTTATGATCCGCGTATGGACGTCGCTCTACTTCCTTGCCATCTTTAAAAAGTATTAATGTTGGTAGCTGCTTGCTCGTGCTGGCGTCACTGACATGATACTTTGCCGCAGCATCTGGATGTCTTCCAACATCTACTTTACCGAATTTGAAGTTCTCCAATGCGTATCTAAACCATAATTATTTTTAATGTCAGTAAACATATCAAATATTCTTTCGCGAAGAGAAAAAGATTAGATTATATAGTCGTTCAGCAGAATTTTGTATTTGCTGGAAATTTTCTTCGTTGGTATAGAGAACTATCCTGTAGATCTAAAAGTATATTTAAAAAGTTTATTTTTAAATATTTTTTTATATAAATTAATAATATTATCCAGCCTGATTATTTAATTGAAGAGTAAGATAGTAATATTTGGAAATTAATTATATTTAATATTTTATAAAGAGAAATAATTGAATAAATAATTAAAATTATGAATACAAATATATAATTAAATTAAATTAAATTAAGACATAATATAAAAATAATATTTTGCGAAGTAAATAAAATATAAATATAACGTGTAGAGAAATTAAAGATAATTCAATTATCAAAGAAAAGAAAATGTGCAATAGATGCAAAATAAACATTCTGCAAACTATAGTATATGTTTAATTAAATCACTTACTCTGCAGAGAGCTCAGAAAATATCGGTGCAAAGGTTACACAAGCTGGATTCCATGCAGTGTAAAATGCCACTAGCCAGACCATTCTGGTGTCACGTTGTAATTCCTCCTGCAATCCATTGGCTCCACGTAAATAGATGACGTTCTCAGGCCCTTGGTACATTGGTTCTGGCAGTACTAATGCAAATACTGCACACAAAGTGCTATTAGATCGCTTATGATACAATGGTCTATAATTCACGATGGTAAAGTGTTGGCCAACTGTTGTACTGTTTATGGGAAACAATTAAAATTAATTCTATCATATTCATGTATTCAGTTACATACATTAGATTTTCCATAAACGATAACAAGTTAGCCGACATTTTGTCTATCATGCTGCTGCCCATAGTCTTCTCTTACGTATAAAAATAAATGCATATAGAATGCCCATCCGCACGTCCGCGTAGAACCACAAGATCAAGTTTGCTCCTTTCGTATACATGAAACTGGACGTCAAATAATTTATCATGGTCACGCTGCCGGTCTTTCTTGTCCTTATCATAACAACAGTTATGAGGAAAAAGAGAATCTGTGTCTCCCTCTAAAAATATAAGTACTTGTTAAAATAATTAAATGTTAATTCTCATCTGCAATTATGAAAACCTACATTCTAGAATGTCCTGTTTAAAATATAAAATACAAGTAAATCTCTGTCTTGTGACGATTGATAAAGGAAAGTTCTAAGTTTTATCTACAATTTGGAATCTCATAGTGTCAATCATACAGATTGTACAATAAAAATATTCGCTTTGAGTTCAAATGCCTGATTGCACCAACATTACTTTAATTTTAAGTGAGGCTTAAAACTCTTTGTCTCTTTTTGAGCTTTAAAACAAGACAAAGAAAGTTTTAAGTTTCGCTTAAAATCAAAGTAATGTTAGCCTACCAGGCTTTATTGTTATAATCCAGAGTTAAACTCAGAATTGTATTATGTATAAAATATAATAATCTATATCTATGTGTATAGGGTATTCAAAAAAGATAATATCAAACTTTAGGAATATGTAGTACTTGTAAAAACAAATCGAAAAGTATATAATGTAAACTATTCGTACTATTTTATATACCATTTATTCAAATAATCTATGGATTATTAAAACCTTTATTCTTATCATTCATTCTTATCATATTCTTTATCATTACACTGGGCTTTTATTTTACATTTTTTATATTATTATTATCTGACTAAAGTCAGATAAATCAGTAATTGTAAAATTTAATCATTTTTTCTATATTATATTATCAAATTTATAATCTATAATTACTTATATATTGTCTACATGAAAAAGAATTCGTGTAGTACAACTCGTGTAGTACAATATAAACATTACAAAAAAATATATAAACATGATCTGGAATATATAAATATGACATGCAAGCATAACCTTGGTTAAAATCGCCGACAAATTAGCATCACTTACCCCATCGAATTCGCAGCCGTCTTGAGCAAATATATAATTACAGATTACAGGAAGGCGTTTGGCGATGATGTAGGAAACACTGAGGAGGATATTTATCAAATAGTATGGCTTCACGAGCAATCTTAGATCCTTTTTGAATGACATTTCGTACAGTCGAAATAAAAAGATAATTTGTATAATTAGTAGATTATACCTAAGAGGTATTTCGACTAATTAATGTTAAACAACGATTATTGTATGATCTGTCTCGCAGACGTCTCCCTCCTGGATAATTCCTAAAGATGAGCTCGCACTATCTCGCACACATAATGAGTTAGGTGTCGTCAGTGAAATTTATTCATGTTAACGAATGGAAGATATGGCTCTGCAATAAAAATGAAAAACGAGGCCACTGCAGACGCATCTAATTTCTGTGCATTATTCTGCGGCGAGCAATAATGTGTCAAGTTTTACTCATGGTAACTCACAGCAACTAATAGAAGATAGGTTCTACAATAAAGGACTGTTTACAATGAAGCTAGCAAGCGGAGCAAGTCGTAAGTCATAAGAAATTGACCAATCATAGTCGATTATTCTTCTCAGATTTAATTGTGATCGATCAATTCCTATGACTTTCTTACTATCATCAAAGTTTATTACAATTATCAACAGAGATCATAACTGTAGAGAAAAAATTGTAATTTTCCTACAATAATATAGGCTATTATAGCTTTACAAAGATACATATTTATTTATGTAACATTTGTGTAAAAAATTTTAAATTTAATAATGTATGAGCCAAATTTTTATGTAAATATAATAGCAAATTTATATCAATTGTCGATAATGTTAGTGTTCTTCATTACTTCCGAACTCTTTTCATATCGCCGAAAATTTGCCCAGGATTGAGTCTTTAATAGTATCTCTTTAGTTAATAGTAATCTTTAATCACCTCATCAGTGATTGTTGTAAAACAATCTTTTTTCGTAATTATCCACATATGAAAAAAATTAAATAAAAATTAATTAATTAATTAATTAATTAAAATTAATTATATTATGAACCAATCGTTTAAATATTAATTCTATAAAATCGGACTTTGATAATATCAGAATAGTGTATTGACGATGTGCTAACAATATTTTTTGACACCCTGTATATGATACATGTGCATTGATGCAATGTTTACATATGGCCAGTGTACCCATCAAAAAATCAAACATTAACAATGTGATAACATAATTACTCAGGGCAATTGCTACAAAAAATACAGTCCAATAGATCTAAATGATATTCTCCAGACAAACAAAATTCGCAATTTCTAATTGCTGATAGTTTTTGATTATAGTAACATTGAATTATTATCGCTGAATGACTCTATTCATTTGTGTAGCACAATAGTATTAACTTATTAATAGTATTAATATATTTTCTGCTTATCAGAGATATTTTCCCCTTTTATGTTATCTACTGTTACATATATAAATTAATGCTATTTAATGCTTCTGTAGATACCATACATCTCCAGAAGTTGTAGGCAGAAATTGCAAGATGAAGACAGTCAGCTTTATGAGAATTTTATTTCTCCTTGAAACTCGCTCGCTCATTAATGCAATTAACAAACGGAATCTTGGCACTCTTAACAATAATTATCCTGTGATAGTGATCACCTGGGATTACAAAGATGCAATGAAAAAAGGTACATTAATTTGAGATATTTAACTGTATTAACTTGTCAAGAGTGAAAGATATGCAATCTCTGCTAATTTAAAGATACTGTTACTTATTTAAGCATGGGATGTAATACATAATCAGAAGAGAAGTGCTCTGGACGCGATAGAAGAAGGATGTTCCCTGTGCGAGGAGCAACAATGTAGAAAGACGGTGGGATTTGGTGGCAGTCCAGATGAATCTGGAGAAACTACACTAGATGCTATGATTATGGATGGGTAAAGGCAATTGAAGCAACAAAAAAAGCAGCTTTCTTGTTTTATTAAACTATATTAGTAGTATATTCAAAAAAGGCATTTTTTTTTATAGGACAAAGATGGATGTAGGTGGAGTAGGAGGACTGCGGAATGTGAAGAATGCCATTTCGGTTGCTCGCAAAGTGTTGGAACACACAAAGCATTCCTTATTAGTTGGAAGCTTGGCTACAGATTTTGCTGTGAATATGGGATTCAAGCAGGAATCTTTACAAACGAATGAATCTAAGGAGATGTGGACACAGTGGAAGACAAACAAGTGTCAACCCAACTTTTGGAAGGTATTGAGAGAGAGGTCATTCTTATTCTTTCAGTACATTTTATTTTATGATTATTTCTATGATATATTTTTGCTGTATATATTTAGAATGTTATACCAAATCCAACAAGTAGCTGTGGACCATATTGCCCGAGCAACATAGAAGATGATAAAAACGTGTTAATAGGAAACGAGAAAAATCATGACACGATCGGTATACTCGCGATAGACTCACAGAGACGAGTAGCAGCTGGAACATCTACAAATGGCGCCAAGTATAAGATACCAGGTCGCGTTGGAGATTCTCCTATTGCAGGAGCTGGCGCATATGCCGATCAGGACGTTGGTGCAGCTGCCAGTACCGGCGACGGAGATATTATGATGCGATTTTTGCCGAGGTAATATTACATATTAATTGTCTTTCCAGCGAGAGACACAATGTAACACATTGATCATTTCATCTTTGTTTAACATGTTTAGCAAAGGATATTAGGGGTCGTTATTGTACTGTGTCATTTGTGTTTCTTATTGGAAAGTGTTCAGTAAATATATATTTTTTAGGTACATTTTAATGAACTAAAATATAAATTTATATGCATTCTATTTTGATCTTAATTTTCCTATTTTAATTTTCCTACTTAAATTTGTTAAATAAATAAAATTAATGTCTAATATAATATATTATATCTTAGCAATACAGTTGTTGAAATTGAGTATTTTTCAGCTTTCTAGCGGTAGAAGAAATGCGTAATGGTGCAGCGCCGAACATTGCTGCTAAGAAGGCAATAAGCAGAATCGCCCAACATTATCCTAATTTCTTCGGCGGAGTGATCGCGTTGAACAACAAAGGAGAATACGGAGCAGCGTGTAATGGAATGTTGGCGTTTCCTTATTATGTTGCAAATCCTATTTTAGGCCCTAAATTACATTTCGTTCAATGCAGCAATTATTCGCAATATGATGGATTCGATGAAACTTGTTAATTTGTACATCTATTCATACTTTAAAATGAATTATTCAAGCTTACCTTTATAATATAAGACTTAAGAATTTAAGATATAATCTTGTTACTCATGAACTTTAAACTACATTAAATTCGCTTTAAAAATATCGTGAAAAAACGTTGATGTAAACACGAACATCAATTGTCAATAAAAAAATCACATCAGTTGTAGCAATAATTGAAGAACAAGACCTTTTGCAAAATTTGCATATTAATTATAACAGAATTTAAAATAGGGGCCACAATGTAAGTAGAGTTCCACATTACTTTTTCTTTATTATGAGCTACTCGTCTAAATTCTAGTTTCATACGATTATTTTTGGTAGTACTTTGATGCGCTAATAATATCTTTTGGATATTTTGTATATGATCTATATGTGTAGGCTGTATATAGAAAAAAAAAATAGTCTAGATAGGTTTAGATATCTAGACCTATCTAGACATTGATGTTTGTCGAAATGATTTATTATGATTTTGTTGTTTTTTTTTACACATGTTATGTTTTTTACGTATATTATATCTTAGATCCGTTAAAATAGATAGATTGGGCAAACGATAAAGAAATTTGAAATAATAAACTGGAAACAGTAGAAATCATAGCGTTAGTGAGAGTAGTTAATTTCAATACGGAAAATTGTACGAGTGATAGACTTGGAATTGTGAGTAATAGTGAAATATCTCTGCGTAAAGAGAAACTGACGGAATTGTATAAAAGAATTTTTGATTTTTCTAACAAATATATTCATTTGGACAAAGACATGTATTCTTCAATTTATTATAAGGTTGATAAAACTTTTCTATGTCTCCTATTAACGTACTACACGTGCATTGGTATGTTTACATGGTTCAATGCATTTATTAGAAAATAGTTAGTAATGTAATAATCTAATTATATAATTACAATCTTTCAGATAATATGTAACAATCCAATACCTCTAGTGAGTACTTACCAGACAAAGAAATATTAGTAATAAATTATATTATCGCTAAGTGATTCTATCTTATAACACAATAGTATTTTATCAAATATATATTTTCAATTTATTAGAGTTTATATTTTCTTTTTATACTTTTTGTTGTACAATTTCATGTTATTTAATATCTCAAGCACTGTGCATCCGAGAAACTGTAGGAGCACGCCAGATTTACAAGATTTTGTTATTCCTTGAAGCTTGTTTCTTTATTAATCAATCAACGAACAAAATTCGCTATCGATAATAGCATTCTTTTGGTATTGCTCTCCTGGAAATTTAAAGAAGCAATTGTGAAAGGTACCTAATTGTGTCAATTCGTCAAGAATAAAAGATATGCGATTTAAAGGCACTTTGTTAATTATTATTTAAGCATAGGACTTTGTTAATTGTTATTTAAGTTTGTTAATTAATTATTAAAAACATTTTGTTAATTATTATTTAAGTATGGGACGTAGTATTTAATTAGAAGTGCTCTGAACGTAATAGAGGAAGAATGTTTCCTGAGCGAAGAACTGCAATGCAAAAGGGTTATGAGATTTTGGTGGTAATCTAGATGAATCTGGAGAAACTACGCTAAATGCTATGATTATGAATGGGTAATAAAGACAATTGATATAATAAAAGTAGTTTTCTTGTTTCATTAAACTGTACAGTAGTTACATTCAAAAAATGTATTCTTTTCGTCAGAATGTCGATGAATATAGGTGCAGTGAGAGGACTGCAGAAAAAGAAGAATGCCATTTCGATCGCTCGAAAGTAATGAAGTATTCGAAACATTCCCTACTAGAAATTTGGCTACGAATTTGCTATAAATATAGGATTCAATGAGTTTTTGCAAACGAACAAGGAGATATGGCATAGATGAAAGGCGAATAAGTCAATCAAACTTTTGGAAGGTATTGAGAAAGAAGTCAGCTCTTTCAGCTCATTTCATCTTATGATTATTTCTTAGATATTTCTTAGATTCTTGCTGTATCTAGAATGTCGTATCGAACCTAACAAATTGTGGATCACACGTGAGCGACATAGAAGATAATAAAAACATGCTAAAAGGGAGCAAGGAAAGTAATGTACAATCAGTACAGTCGTATAAATACAATCAGTATAGTCGCAACAGACACACAGGAATATCTAGCAGCCGGGATATCCACAAATGTCAATCATAAGATACCTGGTCAGATCAGGATGTCGGTCCGGCTGTCTGTACCGATGACGAAGATATTATGATGCGATTTTTGCCGAGGTAACATTATATTTTAATACAAACTTTTATTTTCCAGATATATTTTAATAAACTAAAATATAAATTCATACATTTTTTTATTTTACTCCTGACTTTCTTTAATTTTTTAAATTTGTTTGTTGTGTAGTAATTAAAAATTGATATCTAGTGTAACATATAGTATCTTAGCAATATAGCTGTTAAAATTAAATTGAATATTCTTTACAGTTTCCTAGCAGTGGAAGAAATACGTCGTGGAGTACATTCGTCGCAAGCTGCTAGTAATTGCGCGATTTTGAGAATCACTATCACAATATCATTATCCTAACTTTTTCGGTGGGATAGTCACGTTGAAACTGGAAGAATACAAAGCAGCATGTAACAAAAAATATATTTCCTTACACTTGCAAATCCCACTTTGAGTCCTAGGATACTTTAAGTTCCATGCAATAATCCGCAGTATTATAAGAATAACTTATCAAATTTTTCAATGATACTAAATAATGTATAGTACTCATTGTGAGCATTCTAATGATTATATAATGTAAATATATTCTAAAATTTACAAAAATTCTATAAAGTGAACTATATAGAAAAAGATTTTTTGTTCTATATGTACCTATGCACATCCATTTTGGACACCGCAATTTAACACGGATTCGTCAGTAATGATGTATGTACAAAGTGTTAATATGATTTTCTTATTTTATATATACAATATAGTTGTGTGCAAACGAAACTGTAGGCAATCATTTTGTAAGCAAATGAAACCCTAAATGAATGATGTGCGATAGATTTTTTTTATAAAATATAT